TGCTAGGCTCTCTTACTTCTATAAGCATGAAAGTTGTGGGCAGTGCACACCATGCAGGGAGGGGACAGGATGGCTGTGGATGATCATGGAGAGGCTGAAGGTTGGAAAYRCGAAGCTGGAGGAAAWAGACATGCTTCAAGAGGTGACAAAGCAGACACACCATCTGTGCATTGGGCGATGCTGCTGCTTGGCCTGTGCAGGGACATATCAGTGCGGGGTGTGCATCCATCCACTAAGCCTGGAGTTACTGGTTTGGAAGTGCTTATTCATTGGCAGGACCTGCCTGATTTTGAAGATTCTTGGGAGCCTTTTGACCTACTTCGAAACCAATTTCCTCATTTTAACCTTGAGGACAAGGTTAGACTTTGGGCGGCGGGTAATGATAGGCCCCCAGTTAACCTTACGTATGCCAGGAAGAGGAAAGGTCAACAGTCGGCTAAGGGGGAGAAATAATTGAACACATGGGGGCAATTATAGCTGTAGGGAATAAGAAGAGTCTTGGGGCATTTATAGCTATGTCATTTATGAATAAGAAGAGTGTTGGGCATTTATAACTAGGCCATCTGGGCATTTATGGGGGGGGGAAGGTCAGTTATGCTGTCAGAAGAATATAAGAAGGGTCTTTGGGGGATGGGGGAGGCAGGCTTTGGTTGAGTGCATAATACTGTGAGTGATTGGGAGATTCGGCGGTCTCTCGAAGAACCGACCAACTGTTACTGTTCTTCTTTTCTTCTGAATGAATACCAGTTTCTTTGTTGATATTCGAGTTGTGTGAATTCTGCTGTGAGTCTGAGAATTGTGTGTAAAGTTTATGGGACCTAACACATATCTCCTTTTGGTCAAAATTTTTAAATTGAACAAATTCTTGTTTAATCTAGAATGGGAAGAACACCATGAGGACTTGATTTCTAGAGCTCTACCTATAGTAGCCTTCGACCATTTTCCTATTAGAGTAGGGTCTGATGAGTTCTTAATTGGTCTTGCCCCTTTTAGGTTTGAAAACATGTGGTTAACTTACTTGGATTTTGCAAATAAGGTGAAGAAGCAATGGGTGGAAAATTTAAGAGGAATTGCTTGGAAAGGTATGGTATTTCACAAGAAGTTGCAAAGATTGAAAGCTAGGATTAAGGATTGGAATATGGATCATTTTGGAACATGATCCCTATTATATATTATATATATAATAAAAATATTATATATGTAACATTTTTATTTATTTATTTATTTATATATATTATTTTTTATATGTATAATATTTTTATATTTATTATGTATGTATATATGTATGTATGTAATAGCTTGATTAGGTATGCAAGCCTCACGAGCTTAGATTTATTGGGCTTGAGCTCAGCTTGATTAGCAAACGAGTTGATATACTGGGCTCGTGCTCAACTCGAAGCTCGGTTTAGACCAAGGCAAATCGAGCTTTTCATGAGCCGAGCTCAAATAGCTCGTGAAAAGTTTGGCTCATGGCCACTCGTAGCCCTATTTTTGGGGCCAATAGGGTGGGGGATTCATTAAGAGTCGAGGTGATGGCCTTCCTCCAAAGGTTGAGATTGGCTAAACAATCTCAATTGGATTAATGTGGAAGAGGATTCAAAATTGGTAATAGGATGGATGCAGGAAGTCAGATTAGGGGTCTGGATTATAGACAAGCCGTGAGAGAAATATAGTGGTTGACAAGGGAAATTGATGTAAAATTTGATTGGGCCCGAAGATCAGCCAATGGCTTGGCTGATGGTTTAGCCACAGAAGGGTCAACCAGGGCTGAATGTTTCTGGGCACTGCTGTAACAGTGGATTAAGTTGGGGGGTTCAGCACTCCTTATTGGGTTGTTTGGGCACTGTGTAATGTTTTTGGGTTGTTTTTTAATGCCTCACTGTCACAAAGAAAAAAGGAAAAAAAAAAAAGCTAGGATGAGCAGGCACTCTTAACATATGAAGATAGATGTTGTACAGTTTGCCACTCCCTAAGCAATCTTCCTCTCAAAAATGAATTCTTGGCCCATTGCCAACCTTGAAACCAAGATGAGGCTTAAAGGCATCCATCATCTTGAGGAAATCTCTCCATGAAACCACGATGATCCAGTGGATTTCGGGGCAATTTACCAATTCTAATGTTCACCATATAATTGCTTTTTCTTGATGCAGATTTTGAATTTAACAATTGGTTAGTTCTATTTGGTACTTGAACTTTAGTAGTTTTAATCTTGTTGTTTGACTTAGTCTTTATTTGTTATATATATATATATTATTTCTAATTGTTTTTCTAATATTTGTTTGCAGAACATCTACTTTGCCAGCGTTATTTGTTTTTGGAAATGCGTCCATAAATTCAAATGATTGTGCTAAGTCTCTATCAAACTGTTTATTGACCAATGAGAAGCCTATTGTGGTATGATAAACAACTCAATATCATAATTTCTCATCATCATAACTAGATAATGACCTCTGTACTTAGTATGGGGCCACTTATTTGACCTTTTTGGTTTGACGCCCATTATCTATATTGTGGATTAGGTTAGGTTTTTTATTTGATTATATGATTTTTTTGGTAAAGGATTTTTTTGATAAGTAGTGCTTTTTATTTGATTTAAGAGACTAAATCAGATTTTATTTGTAATTAATAACTCATTTTATCTAGAAGAATGGGTCTTACACCATTTATAATTTCGTTTGCTATTCAATGCTTGTGCTTATGTGGTAAATTTGATTTTGGTTTCTTATTTAATTTAGTAAGTTAAATCTGGTTTAATTTATAACTAATGACCTATTTCATTTAAAAGAATGGGTGTTTTATTTGAGTTAGGAAAATGAATTAAAAAGGTTAGTATGGGTCCCACAACATTTGAAGTAGGTAGGTTCTTTTTAGATAGCCATTTGTGTAAGGTAATACATTTTTTTTTTGAGTGTGGAGAAAAGCATTCTTTTGTCTTATGTAGAAGTCTAGGCTAAGGGCTTTCCTTTAATAATATGAAGGAAAAGGTTTTCTTAATTGTGTCAACTAGGGAAGTTCCATAGACAAACTCTACATGTTATGGAGGAATCCTGTGATCAACTCATATCTTCATTTATATTGAGATTTGAGAACTTTATTGATAGGTGGTGGCAACCATGGGCTGGGCTGGGCTTAGCACCTATAATAAAGAGGCATAACTAAGGTATGAGCTTGAGTTCATACTCTGGCTTTCCAACCCATCCAATTCTTTTGTGTAAAAGGCTTCTTCTAGCTCCTTTTTCAGCTTCCATCTCAACTCCCTTTCTTCCACATTTAGGTTCCTCTGGCTTTCCACCTTGTCCAATTCTTCAATTTGACACATTAGATTCAGCTAATCAAATTGGGAGCCAGGATTTTCAAAGAAGGATTACTGCCCTATCCTATTAGGTCAAGAAACTCTAGGCTTTGGACCACGACCCTTTAGATTTGAGAACATGTGGCTGACTCATCTGGACTTTGAACGAAAGGTTGGTGAGTGGTGGAATGAAGACTTGAGAGGGGTAAAGTGGAAAGGTGTAAGGTTCCACAAAAAGTTGAAGAGATTGAGAGCTAGGATCAAAGAGTGGAATTTGGAGCATTTTGGAAGGGTAGGGGATCAAAAGAATATTTTCATGTCCAAGATTGATGAGCTAGACTCCAAAGAATCCCAAAGAATTATGAATGAACAAGAAAGGAATTTGAGAAGTAGCTTAAGAAAGGAATTGGAAGAAGTTCTTCTTAGAGAGGAGATTTCCTGGAGGCAAAAGTCAAGGCACAAATGAATCAAAGAAGGGGACGACAATACAAAATTTTTCTATGCGTTGGCTAATGGGAGGAGAAGAAAAAACTGTGGCCAAATTAGAAGTGGATGGGGGGGGAAGTTTCAAATCAAGACCAGATAGCTAAAGTGTTCGTGGATCACTTTAAATCAATTGCAGGGAAGCCATTGAATAATAGACTAAGGCTGGAAGGTCTAGATTGGCCCAGGCTGTCTGAAGAGCAAGCAATCTTGTTAGAGAGAAGTTTTGAAGAAGAGGAAATTAGGCATGCAGTGTTTTCAATGGACATATCCCCAAAGCCCTTGGGCCAGATGGCTTCACCATGGCTTTTTATCAAGACTGCTGGAATGGGGTAAGAGAAGACCTTTGTGCTGTGTTTAAGGAATTTGAGGATAATAACAAAGTAAGCCCTGGAGTTAATGCTACTTTCATAGCCCTAATCCCTAAGAAGAAAGAAGCCTAAAATCCTAAAGATTTTAGGCCGATCAGTTTGGTGACTAGCATTTACAAAATCTTGGCTAAAGTGTTATCTTTGAGGATTAAAGTGGTGCTACCCTCCATCATCAGTCAAGCCCAGGGAGCATTCATGCAAGGGAGACAAATAACAAATCAGATTTAATAGCTAACGAGTGTGTGGAGGATATGAGAAAGTCCGGAAAGCAAGGTTTTGTTTGTAAGTTGGATTTAGAAAAGGCCTATGATCTTGTGGATTGGAGTTTCTTATTAGAGGTCCTAGGGTGTTGTGGGTTTGGAGTTGGATGGTGTAATTGGATAAAGGGCTGCATAAGTTCTTGCCATTTTTCGGTCTTGGTTAATGGGGTAGTCAAGGATTTCTTCCCAGCTTTTAGAGGGTTAAGGCAAGGTGACCCCCTTTCCCCTCTCCTCTTTACCCTAGTTGCAGATGTTTTCAGTAGTATGATCTCTAAGGCACACATGGAAGGAGTAGTGAGAGGTTGGAGGATAGGAAGGAACGGGATTAGGGTGACCAACTTACAGTCTGCTGATGACCTAATAATCTTTTGTGAAGGGGGTGATAGGAGAACAATAAGTAATCTCAAATCTTTGATAAAGCGCTTTGAGAGAGTATCAAATCTTAAAATAACCATGGAAAAGAGCTGTGTGGTGGGTGTGAATTTGGATGAGAGGACTATTAAGTCTGTAGCCAAGTGTCTAGGTTGTCCCATTTCCTCTTGGCCCTTACAGTATTTAGGCCTTTCCTCTAGGAGCCAACCCTAAGGAGAGCACTTTTTGGGCCTCAGTTCTGGAAAAGTTTGAGAAAAGGTTAGCCTCGTGGAAAATGAACTATATTTCTTTAGGGGGGAGAGTAACATTTGTTAGACAGTTTTGTATGCCCTTAGCTTCAATCAGAATGATGTACTTTATGAGTTTATTGTAAATGAATAAATGTGCATATTTGATTCATGTTCCCTTGGTATGTTTTTGTGTAATACCCTTAAACTGGACACTTAATGAGACTTGTGTTAGTT